ATCAAGAATAAGTATTTAAGTGGTACTGTCCTTGCATAGGAGGTAAATAAGAGGGCGGGGGAAAGGGAGGGGTTCTGGAATTCAGGCCTGAGGCTGGACTATTCAGAATTATTACTTACTCTCTTTACTACTTTCTTAACAAGACAGTGGGATCAGACTATTAATTCTCCAAGTAAATTAAATCACTAACTGTACTTGGCTCGTCAACAGGACTACTAATGATGATGATAAGTAAAGGTTCATGAAGCTTTTTCTGATGCTGGCTTATGTCTTTTCAAGGACAGGAGAAGAGAACTGTAATCATTTGTAGTTTGTATAACACGTTACCCTGTACCATTTAGTAGTGAAATTTGCGAAGGAGCTGCACATGACGATTTCTAAACTGTGGAACCTATTTAATTTTATGGGCTATTAGGTTAATAGGAATGCGTTGGATCAAAGCAGGAATTCCCGAGTGAGCAAGATTACTTCACCAGTCACTTTGGGTAGCCAAACAGAATACAAGATTCATTTAGTTTTTCTTGTTAACGGGGCTGGCTATGTGAGGATGTTTCTTTCACCTTTTTTTTATTCTTACGTTGGTTTTCGCTTATACCTTAATTTCTGTCTCCCCTCCCCCCCACAAAAAGGAAACTGAAGCTTTGGACAATGTGATTATTACCCATATGAGGTCAAGCCATGGTATATAAGGTGATAACCGGGTTTACTTCATTGATCTCAAAATTAGAAAGATGATTTAACCCTTTCACTCCCATAAGTGACCAAGACAGAATTTCTCCTTACAATATTGATACAATATCAAGCAGGCAGGTGATGAGAATGAAGAAAAATACTAATTATGGAATTATTAGTTGATCCAATACCAAATTCTCAAAACTAACATCGTAAGAATTGTATGGCAGACAGTAAGGAGAATAACTAATTAGATCTTGGGAGTGAAAGGGTTAATGAAACAAACTGCATGGACTAATGGGAGGGAAAACTGATTGTATCCAGGTTTTGCGATGCTATTTTAGATACAAAATGACCGTCGAACTTTAAAATTACATCAAAACTAAACCAAATAGCGAAGACTGAATTTACAAACCATACCTCCTCCTTGTAAGGGCTGTTCTTTCCCTATCAATGGAGCTGCACCTCCCATTGGAATTCCTGGTACACCTCCTGCCTTACGTCCACCTATCTTAATCTGTAAATTCATATTGGCTGTGCCGTTCTGTTTTATTATCCCAGTGCCATAGATTGTAATGGAAGCATCGCGGTCCATGTCTGTGACAACCAAGGAAAAGGACGGTACCGATAGATGATAAGTAGTTTTTTAAAAAAAGATATGAGTTTAAGCCTCGGCGATGGAATTTGTGGGGTGATCTTAGATAGGAAGTCCCTCTGATTCTAATAGTGCCTCTGTCTACACAGTAGCATGAACTAAAATCAGTCGTGCGACAATAAAACCTGATTAATTTACGGGATGGTCTCATTTTATGGAGTTACGATGCTCTTTGTCACTGTATGCTACCAAAAACTGGGTCAAGTTCTGGAAGCAAGGCGATCCAGTCTCTTGGGCAAACTTAAATGACATGTAAAATTAATACATGAAGGCAGTTTAATAATCAATTAAACAACATATATGATTACATTAAGATTTCCACTTGGCGCGCGCTCAGGTCGGTTGAAACAACATGCTTTACAAGAGAACAGATGCACAACGAGCAAGAGCACGATGAGAAATTTGATCCAAATAAAATATTTTCCTGCGGAGAGAAGCTATGAGTATAATAAATTTGTTTTCGCTGTCCATTTTTTTTTAAGTGTTTTTCTTTTATTTTCATTTATGAGAATGACAATCATTAGTTTAATAAGGCTATAGTAACTGTTATACCACCGAAAGCCATTTCATTCTCCTCGTCGTTTACCCGCAGCATGAAGCAAAATTCACGAGTCAATAAGAAGAAGAACTGTGCCGTTAAATTCAGACAGTTCAATAAAGGAAATCGTTTTTACCTCCTTGGGCAGCAACGATGGAAAATAGAAGGCACCAAAGCAACATTTTTTTAAGGAAGTCCTAAATGCAAAAGGCAAATTTAAGATAAGAAAAAAGGAAAGACTTCGAAAAGTACCCAAGTGAGCAATCTCCTATTTTTTTTTAATTTCAACATGGCGAGGAGAGTCTTCAGATGTTTAGACTAGGCCAATTGCACCGATGTGGATATCGAGAAATAATCCATTATGGGCAAGAGATCTTTGGCGGAGAGGTCGTATTTAATACGTCTCATGGTCAGTCTTACAAAGTAAATTTGCCTCTCCCCTCGCCATTGATTGAAAAATCAAAAACCCTTTTTTAAAATATTTAATCAATTACAATGCAAAGGACCTCTTAACACTTTGAAAATAAATCTGAACGTTTCCGCGTTGTCATCAGGTTTCGTCGCCGACAACTTGATTTGGCCTTAACCTTAACAATGACTTAACAGTGATAATTCCTCTAATCGC